GTTTAGTCGTTTAGAAGATTCTTAACTTTATTCCAATATTAAACTTTGTAAAGAACTTTACAATCGCGTTGCCTTTGGATTTCTTTTTTCATGGCGTCTATTTGCATCACTAAAAAATTTTTACGTTCAATAATCGTGTCCTCTTCAGATTTCAAATTTGTGACTTCTGTTTGTAAATCGAGAATTTCTTTTTTTTCTTTATCTACGGCTTAAAATTAATCCATCGGAATATTAATTTATGATTTTCCAATTATTATATAATATTATGATTAATTTGAATAAATTTATCCTTACTTTCAATCAAAATTTTTTGCTTTTTCTCAAACGCTTTTATTTCTTCATTATGGCGCGTTATGCTACCTACTCACAAGAACGCATTTAAATACCTTTTAAGGAAATATAACTAAGAAAAAAAAAAACTTGAATATACTTTTTTCTGATGCAAGAGTATTTTGCCATTGTTGTTTTTTTAATGTTAAAGTTTTCTTGACATTATCTACATAACTATTTATGTCTTCAAACAGGTCAAGTTTTTGCAACTCTTCATAGTGAACGGAGTACATATTTGCAAATCGTTTGTGAAAATAGTTTACGCGTGTTTATCACGTTTAATCCAATTCTCGCAGAAATTATTGGCTATCACTGTATCATGTCAGATGATCTTCATTAAATTACAGGGTCAGGCCGAAATTGACAAAATTTTATTAACGTTAAAAAATCAGTAACCCATGTACTAAGCCAAAGGCTAATTTTGTTATAATATAGTTAGCGTTAGATACAAGTCACTCTCGTTATAGTGAACTCTCGATATAGTGAAGATCTTGATATAGTGAAGAATTTTTTTAAAATTCATTGCCATTATTATTAACTTTTCTCTCGATATAATAAAGTTTATATACGTAGTATTTTCTCGATATAAGCTATAGTGAAGATTTTTTTTCTCAGCCCGATCCCTTCACTATAACGAGAGTGACTTGTATATACGTTCTAATTATTTCCCCGACTGATGGAATAACCTACGGCCATTATCATAATTTCTGAATGGCCGATTCGTTTTGTAATTTTTGATACGTATAATAGATTCAAATTGATATATATAATGATTAATACGTATAAATATTACAAAACTTTAGTACATATAGTACGTACTGTACATACATATCGAAAAAATTTTAATCTTATCACACTTGGATCATCAGTAACTTATTTATACACTTTAAAGTACTTTTTGAGAACGTGATGTTTCACTAAAAAAAATCGCTGTAAAAGCATTCTTAGTATTAAGAAGAACGTTAATATTCAGAATCTGCCTCCTGACTTATTTAGAAGACAAAATATACCACCGTTATTGGACCACGCGTAACTATACTGTAAGTAAAGGTAACGTTAGATTTAAATAAAATTTTATTGCTAACGTCTTTTGAATAGGTACAAGCTCTCTAGTGATAGGAGACCAGGTTTAATGTTTAAATTTGGTCGTTCTTGTAGCATGTTTGGGTTAGTCAAACGTAAATCAAAATTTTGATATCTTGTAGATTCTTTAATGAGTTCGGGTTTATTATTAATAAATAACACATGTATCCCACTTTGCGTGTATTTATTAGTTTGTGAGCTTCTTCATGAGGTTTTTCTCGTTCTCTAGCAGTATTAACATGATAAATCTTTGTAAAATTATGTATTTTGATTGGTTGATTATCACGCAAAATCACGTGATACACTTGGGTGAATCTAATTGGTATTTGCAGTTAAACGTAAAATAAATCATGCAATTTATCTATAAATCAACTTGGATATACAAATAAAAAGTAGTCTAATTTATATCCTATCGTTTTTATACATATTTCTTGCTAAGACTTATTAGCTGACAAGAGCTTTTTATTTGTCAGATATGGATCATGCCGAAATCACAAAATTATCTGCAAGAAATTATCGTTATCGTTATGATAACGATAACAGCTGTAATGTCGGCCTAATTCCGGCCTATTCCGACCCGAAATTTCTAAATCTTGGTTGTACGACTAATCTATCCGGATTATGTTTGGAGAGTAGATGTCAAACACAAAAGACAAGATTACAGAAGTAATATTTATCGCAAATTATGGTATATATTTTTTATCGATCACTAAGTAAGGAGAATATCATAGCGGTGTTAAAATTTATTTTATTTAAACTCTAATAGAAAAGAAATGCAAGTTAACTTGTGTTTGCATAACATTTATTAGTACTAAATAATTTTATCATTTGGGAGATTAGGTGGTAGGTCGATAGATCGACATAAAATTGAGCGCCTTATATGAATAAAAAGGTCATTTGTATGATTATTTGGTTATCCAGTGATCGAAAACGAATGTATAAGAATCATTAAACTCTCTTTGATAGACCTCATGTTAACCTCGATATTGTGTGGCTGTCATTTACCTTCTACCTTATAAAAGTCAAAATTTTTATAAAATAAATCAATATTAGCAAAATTAAGTAAAGTTATTCAGAAGATCAAAAAATATATATCCTAAACGGTTGACATGAATTAAGTAACTTTTTATTAACATATTTTATTTTTTTTTGTCTTACAAAATATTGAGAACCAGGTTTTAATTTTGGTTTTGACCAAACCAGATTTACCTAAGGTTTGGAACTTGTTATACAAAACCTGATTCTTAGGTTTTTAATCTGGAACCTAAAGGTTTTGGAGCCTAAAAGGTTCTGGAACCTTAAGGTTTTAGAACCTAAACTAACTTTACCATCCCTATTGACTACGATACGGGCTGTCAGATTTTGAAGAAGGTGCAGGGCTTTGTGATCTTGAAGCTTCTCCTGGTATCACTGAAATAAAGTGAACTTAATATAATTATTGA